CTCGCCACAAGATATCCTTGATCTCGCTAGCAAAGAGGCTGCGGACCTGAGACATATGCTGTCTACAAACTCAATACTGGCTCCGGCCACGTTCTCATGCTGTATTGATGGATCGTGGAAAGAAGACGAGCCCACGAGTGGGATTGGATGGGCGTTACAGCTGCAGGATGGAGAGATAGATCTCATAAGGCTTCAGGCTCTGCGCCGAAGTATCTCCCCTCTGCATACAGATCTCCATAGTCTGGTATGGGCATTGGCAAGCTTAAGGAAGAAAAAGCGGTACTGTGCTTTGTTCGTCACTGATTCCCAGGAGTTAATTACCATGGTTCTAGAGCCGGACAAGTGGCCTTGTTTTAAATCAGAGTTGGAAGAATTGAAGGAACTACAAGCTTTTTTCCCAGACTTTACTCGTAAGTATTGTCCAAGAGAAATGAATGCGCGGACAGATTTCTTGGCCCAGCATGCCCGACAAAGGAATGTAGTGTTTTCTCACATTAGCACCTCGGTCCCCCATTGGTTCCCAGATACTACGATATTTGGATAAATTAGGATTAAAGTGCGTTCGTAAAAAAAAAAGGTAAGTATATCGGGTTGATTAGATTCAGAGACACTTTTTGTCCTTTTATTTCAAAGGGGACACTTTGGTTTTTTAGACACACTTTCTTTGTTTTTGATATAAAATGTAACAAAAATATCCTCCAAACACGCGTGTGGACAACTTTTCCGTGGACAAGTCAAAAACAATAATGCGTTTGAACATAAATTGTGGACATGATATTATTTTTTAATAGTTATAAATGTTATCCACAATATGGATCATCCATATGATATGATCATTTCAATATTGACTAAAAATATTTGAATTAGGTACATTTTGATCTTTAAAAAGTGCATTAACTGCGACGAAATCACAATCTTTTGTTGTAATATACCCATAAAAACTTTGATTAAATGTTAGTTTAGATCTTCTCGTCCTCTTTTCTTGCCAATATAGATCTCCCAAGAGAATCAACAATCTATTAAGCCGATTCTTTTATGTACACAGTTCTTCTCGATTTCAACGTTTGAACTGTCATGATTACTTCACTGTTTAGGATTTTTAAATGATTATTGTTCGGTTAACCGTTGTAAAAGTGACATGGATATGCATTCTATGACCGTGTGTTGTTGACCACGTAAACACGTCCATGCAGACTCGTTAAAACAATTGACTTTTGTTGGAATAAGAACACAATAAAATCATATAATTCCGGGAACCAATTTAGCCAAATCTAATGAAATCAAAAGAAAATACACTCTGTCTTTAGAAAATCGATAAACAAAACACTGAAATCCAAACCCGGAACTCAAACATCACACTGTAATTACCCCCATGGTTGTTTAGATGTCGGATAAGCGATTAGTGACCCACAGTAGATCGAAAATCTGGACAACATAGATGAATATGCAGATCCTGGAATCGACAGTACTACTCTTGTTGTTACTCGCCGGCCGACTGATAATTTACTGTTGCTTCTGGAAATTTTTATGATTTTGGTACTTGAGTGATTAGAGAGGAGAAGAAGGAGACAACTGATCGGAAATTGGTCTTATCCTTAGAGCTATAGAGGTTATGCGGGGGTTCATAAATCCCA